TCTCTCTCTCTCTCTCTCTCTCTCTCTCTCTCTCTCTCTCTCTCTCTCTCTCTCTCCATCTCTCTCTCTCTTTCTTTCTCTCTCTCAGTTTCATTCTTTCTCTAATTCCACGTACTATGGCTCATAATGTGTCTTCTCCTTCCAGCTTTCTTTCTCTCAGCTCTCGTCTTACATAAGACGGGTCTGCAGTGAAACAACAGAGCCCTCGCGTGTGTTTCCCCTCCTGAACACAAGTGTCCCCTGTCTGTTGTTAGCTTGACCCACTAACCCGTTTCCCCGTGCTGTTTGCAGCCAATCGTGGTGTTGCTTTCAGAGGGTGTGTGTGTTGTTTGGGTACAAAGGTCGCTGAGGACTTGCTTGCACTCCCACTTCCCACCAGCCCTCAAGCTGTACTGTAAGGAACGTGTGGGTTCATGGACTCTTCGCGACACAGCTTACCTAACTACAAGTACAAGGCAGAAAACATCTTGATCTAGAATCTAGACTATATTCTTAATTTTTCAGAAACGTATGGTTTCTGCAACACAATCTGAGTGACCGAACTGAGTCTTAATCATTTCTTTTTTTTTCTATTCAGTTTTTACTTAATCGCATAACGAAGGGAGTTTTTAATATTTTCTCGCACATAAATTGAGTGACTGACTACACACACAACAAGCAGCTTCGGTGGTGGTTATTGTGGGGTGGGGTGGGAGGGGGATAAGTGGATTTACTGTTGACAGAAACATTTGGCTGAGTGAAAGAGGCTCTGTACTAATGCTCTTTTAGCTGACAGATCCCATCCAGCTTTACCGCCTTTTAGCCAATGACCTCTGGATGGGTTGTTTTTCTCTTACACGTGGCAAATATGCCCAGAGACTCAAATTATCATATTTATGGGATGTAACCATTTAGATCTAGATCTAGATATCTAAGTCGTTTTTAGTTGTTGTTTTTTTTTTTGGGGGGGGGGGGGGCGTGGGGCGTTGAAAAAATGTAGCCTACTGCGTTTTGGGAAAGGAACACAATGTGACCGATTTTTATCTCTCTTGATATCACTTAAATAAAGACTACATTGCGCGGTGATTTATTGATATCATACCTTTTATTTTGGTCGTTGTGAAGGAATGGTGATTGCCGAGAAAGTCTGCAGTGGTGAAATCGGCTACGTTCTTATTTTTACGGTTATATTTAGAACATGACAACATATGTGTGGATGAAAAGATTGGGGAGGGGGTATATCAATATACGATGTCTGAGTGTTATCTGTCGTCACGTGAAGGGGTTTATTTATCAGCGAATATCGATCATTTGTATCTGTTAGTCACTAGGTCTATTAGGGACAATATAGATCTAGATCGTAGCTGTAGCAATACACAGGTAAGTAATACGATTGAAAATTAGTGTGGGTAAGCAGGGCCAATGTGTGTTTGCTCTTTGCCACTATATTATGACTAATTTTGTGGGTGCGCTTGACCAACGCTGTCTAAAAATAACTACCTATCATGATTGGTGCTTATTGCATTTGCAAAGAGGCCCATTTTCTTTCTTTACTTTCAGACTGTATGCTTTTGCTCTCTCTCTCTCTCTCTCTCTCTCTCTCTCTCTCTCTCTCTCTCTCTCTCGCTCCTGAAGTCTCTGGTGCGCAATTAAGCTGCGAAGTTCAGGTGCACTGCTCTTGGGGTTCTGGTTAAGCTCTTGAAGAAATCTGTTTTTCTGGCTCTCGTTCATGTCGACGAACGCAGGTTCGCCTTGTTTGTCTTTTGCTGGCTGGAAACCGATCAATAAATCGGTTACATTTTGCTTGCCCAATTGAATCAGCACTTTCCTGTTAATTCGTACCTGAACATTGCGTCATCGCAAGCTTGTGTTCCCTTCAGCGTTCACTTCATCGGTGCGCGGAGCTCTCATGTCTGCCATAAATCTAATACATGTAGCGTAAACCAGGCGTGGCGGCCTGCCAGTTTTGTTTTTTGTTGTTTTTTTACGGGGGGGGGGGGGGGGGTCCCGATCAAAACAGTGAGTCATGGGTCTGCTGCTGCTGCTCATGGTGGTTGAGTAGATCTAGCCTAACCTCAGTATTCAGTACTTTGTATAAGCTTAGCTTAGCCTAGTTTGCAAGGCATGGATCAAGATCGCACATCTTCAGTAATA